CCTGTGTAAAACTCAGGCAGAAGCAGGTTCTTCTTACACAACACCTGAGTTTGGGACAAAAAACCCGAGTATTACAGTAAGTGGAGGCTTCAGCATCTTCCTGCACCATGGGCACTGCCCTACCCTGTGTAAAACTCAGGCAGAAGCAGGTTCTTACTTGTATTTCTGCAGTGGCGTAGAATGTCGGTACCTTCGGTCCTTACTGACTCAACATTGTCTCCAGTGAGTTGCTCCTGTCTGTGAGGTGCAATTAACTCTGCCTTCTGCAGTCCTGTGATACTCCTCGAGCAAAATGAGGGAAAACTCAAAAAAAAGGTGGAAGACACTCAAAAGGAAGATCTTCCCTCCAGAGAAACTGAGATGGCAGCAGCAGCTCCAGCAAGTTTTGCAGTTCCAGGTGAGATTATGAAACCCTGTTTTCAGCAATTTGGTCTTTCATACATAAATTCAAGCCTCGTATTTCTGAAGCAACAAGGAACCTGGTGTGTTCAGTGGGAATTCCCTCTTCCCCATCTCCCTCTCCCAGGAATCTTTTTGACAGCCAAAATGGTCACACATGCATCCAAAACAATGACTACTTAATTGTTACCTGTCATGGATGGTGCCTGGGGAGATATCAGACTGTCAAGCCCAGTATCGTGCATGTACTTGTTTTGTCCCTTGTTCCCCTGGCAGCACCTCCACATAACCCTGTTTTAATCGAAGCAAACATTAATTGAAGCATTTGTAATGAACCCTTGCATAACCTCGTACACCGGTTCTCTCACGTTGTAATTCAAGACATACCAGATGATTTCAGTTATCCTGATTTGCAAAGATGGTCCCCCAAGTAATGCAGAGCAGGGAGACAGCCGCGCCAACCCAGGGACATTTTAATTAAAGAGCAAAGTCATTTGACTCCAAAAGAAGAGAGCGTGACCCAATACAACTTGATACACGCATCATATATCAAACACTCAAGATGTAACCACAAAAACCCCACACAATTCAGATATAATCGGTAAATGCAGAGTTGGTCAGAGCACTGGCCATTTACAAAACAGGGAGTAGAGGTACTCATCTGGTTACTCAGCAACACCTCCTAGTCACTGCTGTTCATCACTGAAAACGTTTACTTTTCAACTCGAGCTGTGACACCAGGGAAGGAGGGAAGCGAGTTTCAGCCTGCAACGAGAGAAATGGCAGCGGGAGGGGAAACAACTTTAATTTGAACTGAAAGCACATGGTTTTGCAAGTTTATCTGTGAGAAGCAGGATGGAGCCAAAGGCAGCGGGGCAACGCACAGGGGCACAACTGCGAAGGCGGCTTACCAAGGAATTGCTCCGAACACCATCCCACCCGTGTGCTCCGGCACACCACGGCAGTTGTGCAGGCAGTGACACGTGAGCCTGCCCGGTAAGAACGATGAGCTGATCTCCATGGCAAATGGAAGCATTCCCAGGGGTTCCCCAGGTGGGTTTACAACACAGCACCGCCAGTAATGCAATTGGGTAATTCAAGCAAACACTTCCGCTGGCAGAAAACACAACTTGACTCTACGACCTGGAAAACTCACTGGACTTAATCCCTCTGGAGCGGCACTGGGATGCTCCCCTGAAGGCTCCCGAGGTACGTATTCAAGGACTGAGCGTTGCACGACACTCCTTGCTGCATGCTAAGCGCAGAGACTGGAGGCAGCCGCGTGTTGAATCGCATGCTCCAAGCGTGTGATCCTCCCCTCTCTCACGCTAGCTCACAAACAGCACGTGCACAGCACAGGAGTTGCACCTGACACAGGAGATCCAGAGAAAGCAAAGCAGTGAGACCCCGGAGCCAAAAGATTTGTCCTGTCTTCAACTCCTTATCACATGTGCACAAGACTCCCATTCCTCATTATACGAAGTCTTGAGCATCTGCAGGCAGAGCAGCTGAGCAATCTGCATTCACACTAATCATATTTCGTTCCAGTTCTGTAGCTCTGGCTGAGAATTTCAGTGTCTCGCTCGTTTCAGACATCTTCAGGTTAATGCTACGCGAACATCTCAACCCATTTTTATAGCATGTGGTCGGTAGCCCTTGCTCAGCACACTGAGCAAGGTCAGTACGTGACGCAGGAGTTCAGTACCAGCATGATGTAGACAAACTAAGGGCTACCAAAGGAATGCAATCCGTCTTTGCCGCTAACCATAACGACCGTCAACTGAGCAAGGCACAGAATCGATTTTAGATCTAATACAACTTAGCAGTTTCAGTCGTCTTGTGTGCTGGTAACTACGATACATTTTCTTAAGATCTGCAAATAAGACAAATGTTCTATTCATGACTGACTCCACAGTAACCAATTAATTTATGCAATAAACAACTTCTTTTCTACAACAGAGTAACTATTTCAGCATCTCATTCCTTGTGTTCCCAGATCTGTTTGTCAGGGACTATAAAACTCAAGAGGATGCAGAATTGAATTCTACATGGCAGAACTGTGTATCTACCTACCTCTACCACCCTGTTAATGATAATGAGCTACTTTTCAAGCAAATGAGGCACAGATAATCACATTGTACCTCTCCTGCCACCTTTGAAAAAACACTGGAATCCATGGGCTGATTTGAATGAAACATGCCAGACAGAAGGAGGAAAGGCTCTTGGAAAATAGTCAAGTCACAGCATTTCTGGAAACCTCTTTTTGGAAAGGAACCCTGCAAAACTACAGGAGTAAAAAGCCAAACTGAAATATTAAATCTTAGGTCTCGTTTATCAATTAAAGTCAAGATTAGTAGTCACAGTGCCTAACTAACTGGCTAGGAGTCCTAACGCATCTTGGCTGCAGTGGCAATAGGAAATTCTTGAACAGCCAGGGCTCTTCCCTCACGGATGGGTAGGGTTATGTCAGGAAACTCTCACAGATCACAAGACATATTTCCAAACATATCAGGCTGCCTGAAAGCAGACCCCATTTCCATTGCAAAAGTGTGCTACATATTGCCCAATATGTAATTACTGGGCAATAATAATAATAAGCTTAATTGCAGCTGAATTTTTTCAAACAGGCATCAGTTTCATCTTCGAAGCATTCAGAATGTATTGTTGTCAGGGAGAGATTTTAAAAGATGTTAATCTGGTGGCACACAAACCCTGAATATATCCAGCCTATGACTGCAGTTTCTTTAAGATGTGCAAAACATGGTGCTACTTCTACATGCATACGGTGAAACCTGACCACAGCGGCCATACAGCACATAAAACGGGTGCAAACCCACATCAGATACCCAGGCCTCCCATCTGAAACTGGAGTTGCATTTAGCCCTATATTGAACACTTAGGGGTTTTTTTTCCCCACATGCACTGAAAAAGCTGTCCAGGATAAAAACCCACACGGTAGTTACACCCAGTGGACAAATGGAGGAAAAAATAGATAGAAACTAACTGCATCTTTGGTTTTGTCAAATACAAACAGAAATGAATCCCAGAAAGTCAGCAAAAACTCTCGGAAGCCAAGCTGGATTTTCCTACCTTGGACCAGAAGAGGGAACATGACTTGCACTTATGTCTGCCTCACTCAGAGGTTACACCGCTCTTGCTTAATGAGGTGTGCAAGCACAGTAACTGTGCATAGCACTCTGACAATAAAGGTTGCTCATTATATGCCTGTTTTTTCTCTTAAGGATTATTTATGAGCCAGAATCACAGCAGATGTTTGAGGTACATGGTTCTACTGACAACTACTTGGGCACTTGCAGGCAGCCACACAGGATGTAGCTCAGGACGAAGAACTGCCTCACCCAAGGCTTCCCAACGTGCTCCACCAAACTTCAAACCTACCACAAGAAGCCAAAAGCACACAGCATGTGCCACAGATGGACAGGAGATGTCTGTAACTACTACACAACAGCAACCGGACACATCTTCGGTGTGGGAGCAGCTACAAAAGCAAATGGTATTGCACAGGGTAGCACGGAGCTGACCGAGCCATCCTGCCTTCGCTGCAACACCTGCCTGGCTCAGGGAACACTTCAGCCTCACCCAGCATTCCCCCCAGTCACGCCAACCTCGGCTTAAACAACAGCGAAAAGCCAACAGCAGCCTCACCAGCGCCGAGTACAGGGGGATGATCCCTTCCCTAGCCCTGCTGGCCATGCTACTTCTGGTACAGGCCAGGATACCGCTGGCCGTCTTGGCCACCTGGGCACACGGCTGGCTCATGTTGAGCCAGCTGTCAACCAATAAATCTCAGGTCTGTTTCTGCCAGGCAGCTTTCCCAGCACCTTGTTGAAAGTTCTACTACTAGGCTCTTTGCAGCAGGTTCAACCTACTAAACTGTACTTGAGCAAAAAGAGATGCCCCCAGTACTGCCAGACTGCGCGTGACTTGCTTAGAAACAGTCACCCATGGACTTCTGCGAGCACATCTCCATCTCCGAGCTAAAGATTATGAACTCGCATAACCAAGTCAGCATTGCTTTTCATGGTTTCAACAATCATATTTATTCCTTGGTTTAAAAGGTTTTGGTTCAACAGTTTTATAAACAGACTTCACAAAATGTGCAATATTTATAAACGTAATTCTCAGTTACAGTGGTAGTAAGAAACTTTACTTTCATCATAAAGTTCACTTCAGTTACGCAACACACGGTTGGTTTTGTTCCCCCTCGTTTCCCTCCCCCAGTTGGCACTTCATTGTAAATTGGAGAAATTTGAAAAGACAGAAAGTTACTCTAAGCATGATGTTTTAAGCACCTTGCCACGGTATTACATTCCAATAAGGCAAATTGCTCTTCTGCAAAGTCAGGATTGTGCAACCCGGAGACCTATAAAAGGCGACAGAAATGCCAGCCTTCTCCTGTAAGGAACAGGCCTCCATTTTTGCTTCAAAGTGTTCACCCCTCTGCACCACCCCCCTTAAAAATCCCCAAAAGTACAGCTGGTAATACAGCAGAATATACCCCTTAGAGGGTGAAAGGACACGACAGCAGACGAAGGCTGAAAACACAGGGCATAGTAGACAAAATAAGACTGTTCTTAAAAATACAATAAAAAGGAAATAAGAAGAAACTGAACAAGCAGCGACAATGGAATTTTTCTAGTGGAAGAGGATTTTGGGGCTTCATAAATAAGTGGAAAATTACTAAAATACTTTGCTATGTAATATAAAAAAAAAGCACAAAGTGTTTTCCAGTTGTCACCTAAGCGCTAGATGCAACTTTGTAGGAGTAAGTATTTGGAGGCAGCTTTGAGCTCTGGTCGGTACAGGCATTCCAGCAGGGTAACGCCGCCAACAGCAGGAGGAACCCACCCAGTAAGACACAAAACCCACTGAAATAGAATGCAGTGTCGTACTCCTGCGTCCAGTCATAAAACCAACCTGAGGGTGAAAATAAGAGAGAAACGCATCAGTGAGGAGTTCACAAAGTGCTGTGAGTTAGAGAAACGTCACGATAAAAACCCAACAACGAAAGGCCACGTCTAAACCACGGTTTGACCACTCGGCCAAAACCTGAACACAGTCAGCTTGGCCAGCTCAAGCAAAACAGGCTTTAATTTTTGTTGAAGATTTTGATTTCATCTTTGCATTGTTATTAGGACCAAGGAGAAATACAGGCATGCAAATTAATTCTGTCTGGTCCAGACAAGCGCACGTTCATTTTCGCTCCTCTGCCCTTACCTACGATCGGTGGTCCGAGGCTATTCCCGAGTCCAGCAAAGAACATCAGTATCCCATACGCGTGAGTCAGCTTCTCAATCCCCACAGTCTTTGTTGTTACATAAGGAAAAATTGACCAGTTCCCAGTCAGAAAACCCAAAAACCCAGAAAGCATCGCTAATGTAAGGTAACTTTTGGCAAACGGAATTGCAAACAAGGCCACTCCTGTCATTAGTAAGGTAGTTACATACAGATATAAAGTGTTAACCCACTTAAAATCCGCCAGTATTCCTAAGGTAAGCTTGCCAACAGCAGTCATAATGCCTATAATGGAAATAAGGGGCATATGGTAGTCATCCTCATTAATGTTTGCACTTCTTGCTACATCTTCCATGAGCAGAGATGGAGGAAATCCACCAATATCAAAGAGCAAGATGGTGACAAAGAGAGCTGAAAACACTTTGTTTTTAAAAAGCACCACTGTTTCCTCCCAGTAGTTCAAATAGAGCTGCCACTTCCTTTTGGCGAGTTGCTTGCAGAAGTTTGTACGTTCTACAACCTTCTGTTTGTAAGTGTCTCTCTCATTTACATTTATTGAGCTTAATACATTCTTATTTAAAACGCTATCCTGTTTGTAATCAGGCACATGGTTCGCACATTTTTCATCCACGTAGCCCTTTTCAAGGATGCTTATATTTTCTTCAAGAGTCTTTTCTTTTTCATGGTAAACAAAATATTGATCTGGGACTTTGTCTACACACGTCTTTTCTGGTGGAGGGGAATCAGATGACTCCAGTGGTCTCATCAGGCTGCCACACGCTAATATATTTAGAGACAGAGCACCAACTATTAGCAGACAGCCATCCAGTCCATACAGATCAATAAGCTCTTTTTGCAATGCTGCATATATAAAGAGTCCAACACTTGAGCCTATAAAAGGAAAATAAGATTAGTTTAATCTGAAGAACTGAGAACATTCTTCAACACTAACAAAATTCTACATTTCAGCAGCTACAAATATACTGTTATAGGAGTGGTCAGTCAGTTGTGCTCCTCTCTCCCCAGTCTAATGAACTGGTAAGTTATCATCCCTCTTGAAGTGATGATTTCTTTATTGAGCATGCACAAAATAAAAAGTCTTTCAACATATCTGAACAATTTATGATGATTAACACTAGCAGACACTTTAGAATCTAGTAGGATCACTACTTCAATATGATGAAAAACACCAAAGAACTGTTAAGCCATCCTTCTGCCCTGCAGTGACATACCTTCCAGGTAGCATTCTGAGTGAGCCCAGTTAGAATTTCACACACCACCATTTTCCCCTTTCTCCTCCTCACTGCCACCTTCCTCCTCTAAGACAGACACAGACCCGGGGCTTGCCAAGAGCCCTCCCAGAAACAGCCCTTGGTGGCTTGGCATTTAAAGAAGGGGGTGAGTTTATTCCAAAGGCCTTTCTGAAGCTCTGCAGGGCCAAACATGCCTTTGAGAAATTTGGCTATTCAGAAAAAAAAACACTGAAGAGTAAGCAACTGCTGTGAACTCAAGCATTTTATGCAATCCCACAAATTTAAAAAAGCTCTCGGTAGAAGTGAGCATAGATTCATTATAATGTCCACTCCCACATACAGAGTATTGGTTTTTCAACTCATTTTAAAGACAAACTTTAAATTAAAGTGATTTGCTGAAGAGTGTCTCTATGTTACGTTAAAGTCATTTATATACTTCAGTGCTAAGCACAGGAAAAAATAATTATAAAATTCAGACTTATTTTCTCTTCCAGGTACTAAAATTAAGCAGGGCTCAGTAAGGCTTTAAGGCAAACTACTTGAAATCCCAACAAAAGCTGCTGAAAATTATTCCAAGGAACATTTCTGCAGAAGTTCCCCTTTACTCCACTGGTGTGGATTGGCATTAATCCCTCACCACACTGACTGTACTGACCAGGTCTCTCCTCACTAACAGCTGCTTGAGGGTTTTCCTTGTATTAGCAGACGTTTGTTTTTCCAGGATCCCTTTAACATATATGGACAAAAAGCTGGAATGAGCTTTTGGAAGACTTCAGAATTTAGTCTCCTTTTAGACTGCAAATGAAGAGAGTATTGAAAATGTAAACCCAGACTTCAACTACGCTTTTAAAGACACAGCAAATGCGAGGTTACAGTGATCCAGCATTTATATCTTGCATCTTCAATCTCTTTCTCACCCCTGATCTTGTGTAAGAAAGAAGAGGGAGAAGAGAGCTCTATGGGAAGTTTCTCCTCTTATTACCAGCAGCATACAGCCCAAGATACTCACGAGTCTGCTTTCATTTTAGTGAATACCCTTTTCTCATCTATATGGATAACCTATACCATACACCTGCAAGCGTAGTAGCTATTTGATCTGAAGCCTGATTTCACCTGTCCATTGCTACGGATGCTTTGCCTTAAACAGTACTTCAGGAAGTAACTGAGAAAAATATAATCTCCTGGGTTTTACTGCCAGGGTAATGGCAGCTGTATCAGAGTTGAAAAGTTAGACAGAATGACAAGAGTCTCACCTGTTGAAATCAGACCAAGTGCAAGGCCTCTACGTTTGTCAAAATACTGGCAAGTGATGGTAACGGTTGCAGTATACAAAAGGCCACATCCAAGCCCTTGAGAAAAAAAATTATAAATAAAGCAGGCAGTATACTCTGGGAAACAAATGCCTTTTTTGTTGTCCAGATAATACAGTAGGGTACCCTGGGCTGAGAGGTACGTTTTTACTCTGGTTCAGCACCAGCCACGCCACCCTCATTCTGCCACCCCCTTTTGGCCGCCTGCACTGTCCCACCTCCCTCTCCCCCAGCCACCACTGGCTGCAGAACCTGCGTGCAGCAGCCTGGGTTTGAGGAGTTCACCAGCGTGGGTTCTGTGCTGCATGGAAGGGAGGCTGACCTAGCTTCCAGTCCAGCGGCTGCCCCCGAGAACAGCAGAGCTGTGGCGGGCTCAGTGGCTGCCTGGCCTGTGCCCAAGCCAGCACCTGCTGGGTCCACAGCCAGCGAGGTGCCCGGGCTCCTGGCACAGGCCATTTGACAATGAATGTTTAGGTAAAACCTCAGCTTCTCCAACTCTAACAATCACGTCAACAGAGACAAACTGTCTTCAAACCCTGGTGAACATATGCATTGCCTTCATCTTGCACTACATGGTAACAGCCTGCCTGTGCAACAGCCCTCCCTGCCTCAAAGTAAAGTATTCTTTGATAAATCAAGTCCCAGTCTACTGCTGCCTCTGTCAGCCACTCTCCCACTTCAGATTCAGAAACCAAGCCTCAAAAATAATAAAGATTAAGTCTTATATGAAGAGATGTTTCTTACCAACAACAATCCCATAAGAAATATACAGAAAGTATATGTTAGGTGCAAAACTGCTCATCATGAGGCCCCCGGCCACCATAAAGCCACTGAAGATTGTTACTGGTCTTGCTCCAAAAGATGATACACATATACTGCAGACAGGACCTAGAAAAAAGACAGGAAAAACATTCCTAGTAAATACCAGCACCAGGAAGAACTTCTAAAAAAATCTCAGATTATGGAAGCGTTTCTTACAATAATTATTTAAATGCATAACATTGAACAGCAATTCAGAGTACTCATTTTTACAAGGTTCTTTAAAAGAGTTGGCTATAAAAACATACAAGATCAGGCTTGCAAGGTTTTTGCTCAAGGAGAAACTGACATCAAGACCATGAAATCACACCAGGGTTGGGAGAGAGTGAGCAAAACATCCTTTAAACACAGGACACATACATGCTAGACTGTACCACTGTCACTACACACCTAAGGACTTGTACAAAAGGTCTGAGAAGAATCTTCCTCAGGTACCAAAACAAGTTAGACCACCAGCCAGGCTTTAACCAAGCAGGGATTTTTTGACAAAGCCCAAAAGCTGTGTTTCAGAAGAGACAGCGTCTGTATTCGTCTTGACATAAGATAAGATTTATAAAACTGAAATGGAAAACAGTAATTTCTGATCAGAATCATGGTAAGAATGCCACCTGGTGCTTACAGAGAGGAAATATGTGCTCATATAACAGATAAAACCAAACCCTACTCTTCCATATTTAATTCCATAGAAAATCAGGGGCTAGTCAGCATTTTACCAAACAACCTTCCCTCGGTTTCTACTGCAAAACTACGGAAAACACAAGGCATTTACTGATAAAGTCCAGAGCAACGTTCATGAAGTTCGGAAGAGGATTCTCCCCTTCTCTACCTCCCCCAGTATTTCTTGGTTGGTTAGTTCTACAAAACAAGAACAAAGTGCAGGCAACACTCGTACTCTGCCTCTCCTCAGCCAGTTCCCCTCGGAGAAGCTGCAGAACAAGCGCTCATTTTCAGTTGTGTGACCTGGAATACACCTTTCAGCCTGAAGTAGCGTGCAAGCCTGGTGCCCTGCATAAATAAGCAACCAGCAAGGGACTTGGCTTGCAAAAAAAGACAGTCTCTCATCGCCAACCCTGCAGTTCCAAACATTCACACACAGACATGCATCACCCCCGAGACCCTAAGCTCAGCCGCTCGGAGATAAGAAGTTCAGAGACACAGGTGAATGACATTATTTGCACACCAGCCAAACCACCACAGCCCCTCACCACCTTTGTACCTCCTCTGCAGCACTACAAAGACGTTCCGCGGTTGATACAATCTGCAAATGCGCTAGCTATGGAGCCTGCTGTTTGTTAAGGGTGGTCCTTCCTGACTCCCGCACAACCGAGATTCCCAGCAGGCGGGAGGTGAGCCCACAGGGGTGATCCGAGGTGAACGACGGTTGGAGCTGAGGAGGGTGCTTGCCTAGGTTTGCAGACAGGAGCTAGCAGCTGGGAATGCAGGCAAGGTTTTCCTGTGGTTACCGGCCACGGGACAAGCAGTTCTGGCAGGCAGGGTGCAGATTCGTTAGCAGGTGAAACGATCCTCAAAGGCAAGGCAGGTCAGAACTGCTGCCCTATGTCAGAGCTATCTGCCTAGGGAACGTAAAGGGAAACGAGTCTGGATTGGGGCTTATCCAGGAAAAGAGTCAAAAGAAGACGAGAAAAATCTTCTGAGGAAGTGGGGTGTATTTGGATTTTGGAAACGATGAAAAAGGAAGATGTAAGCACTCGTTGCTTCTCAAGAGTCAGCACGCTGTGGCAATGAAAGCAGGCCAGAATAACTTGGGCAGAGCAACTTGTCGAGAACAAAAGCTGAGAGTGTTAGATCGTTGCTGATTCTTAGAATTAACCACTAGAACTGGCAAATTAAGATTGGTATGTTTCCTAAAACCACGGGATTTAAAAATAAACAAAGGATTGAATCTGTATTACATAAAAAATTCTTCTACACGAAAAGAACATTAGGTAGTGCTAACATAATTCAATTAAGCAGAGGAATTTGCACTCTTTCTTTTCTTTATTTCTCACCCACTACCTTGCTAAAACAAACAGTATTTCCCTTCCACCTGCTCTCTTATTTTGACAGAGCTGCCTTCAGAGGTGTCTGTCCAGCCTGGGCTGGTGGTACTGGTAAAGACGGCACTGCTTGCTACTAGAGGATCTGAGGTGAAGCTGGACCCTCTGACCCCGAGCCAGAACACGTGAGACAGAGCTGAGGAATATGTCTTCATAATCTGACAAGGACACTCTCCCTTGGAACACCATCAAAAGCATCTGTGACAGGGTCCAAGGAGATGCTCTTCCAGCTTCTCCCACTTAGAAAAATAATCCCAAAGGAGAACAGAAAGTACAAAGAGATCTTTTTGCTCTGACATGGAAAACAACCTGCACAAAGCCGAAGGACCTACTCCAATAAGTTCAGTATTAATGTGTCATCTCACACAGCAGGAGATCTGGCAGCTCAGCAGTGACCCTGTTTATAAGAAGGGGTGCCAGTATAAGTATTAAAATAGTTATTATAGATCTTCAGGATGGGAAGAAAACCGGCTCCATCTTCCCTTTCACACCAGGCCCTATTTTCACACTCCTCTCATCGTACTGCTAGAAAAATGTCACAGAAGAAACCCCCCATGAGAGCCAGCATCTTTGTTCTTTTCCCTGCCTCCTCACATTGCTTCTCTTTCTCCGTTTCCCAAAGAGCTGGCATTTTTTTCCCCACCACGCACAGTACCTTTGGTTATTACCATGGTATTTGCACAGGAGTTCACTGTACACAAACATGTTATTCTCCACAAGTAATTCAAGCACAATGGGTTCAAGGCAGTTAATTCTGGTCAAACATCCAACTTTCCCACAGTGGGACTGAGACCTGCCCTGTGAACTCCTGCCCTGTGGATTTCATTCAAAGCGGACACTGAAGAATGCGAGAGTCTACGTTCAGCCGCACAGGGAACAGCTCTTCTGTGTAAGGCAGTGTAAGGGTTTTCATTTTTTGACTCTCTTTCAGAACAATCCTTCCACTGATAATGTACATCTCACCGTAACATGAACAACAAAAACAAAATCCTGGTGGCAATCCTCAATAGTAAACATGGAAAACAGCTTTTAAGGCAGCATTTCGTTCAGTTTGCCAAGCAACTCCAGGGGTTAGCACTGGTATTAGAGTAATATTTGAAAACATTGATAAATATTAACCTCTTTTACAAATAAAATCCCTGTGGCTTTTTTTGTTTCCAAATGATGTACCTTAAAACTAGGCCAAACTCCATCTAAAAAAAATATCAGCCCATTCCATGAGAACGACAGCTAATTCTAGGAAGAAAACTGTATTGTTCTGAAGGACTCAGAAGGCAGCACAGGGACAGCCACTGCTCTTCTGCACACAACCTGTCAGGGCTTGGCAGCCAGTGATAAAACAGTTGATCCGTCAAGAGGATCCCTAGACAAAATGGGAAGAAGCAGCAGAAAGAAGATGGGCTCTCAGTAGATCTCCATGCAGAGAGTCCAGGGGAGGAACTCCTACAAGGAATCATCTGTACATTGATACTTTCATTAAGGTTTTTTTTGAATAAAAGACTTCACCCTCAGCGAGACCTGGATGCGACAGTGAGGCCTTCCCAAGGTGTGAAAACAAGCCATCTGCTGCTCACAGGAACTTTATAACTACCACAATCATCCGTCCTCCTGACAGGTACAAAGTTGCTTTGTTTAACGGACGTCAAGAACTAGCACTCTCTTCCATGCGTGAAGAGAAACATTCTGCAGACTAGCATTCACTTCCTCCACTCGCTCTTCTAGAGGGTCATCCCTCCTTCACCTCACAGACCCACGAAGTCTTTTGCTAAACAAACAATACTGGACAACTGAGCTCTTTTTCTTATCGCCTGCATTAATCTGACCCACCCTCCTTGTTGGTATCCGTCTGAGCCTGTTGAAACCCTGGAGTAGAAGCAAACCCATGGGCTGCATGTAAAACCCACTGCACAGAGCACAAGAACATTTTTTGCATAATAAATGAATTGCTAAAACCAGGGCATAATAAGTTATTATATTCTCCAAGTGTTTGCGCTTCGGATAAGAAGATAGATCAGAACATGCCCTTTTGCACTGGACAGCAACCCACTCCCCGCTGACTGAAAAGACTGCTCCTTTCTGATAAAGTTGTTAAACGAGCTGGGCTCCTCTTCGGAGGAATCTTTGGGACACCCCCTCCCCTCCCCACAACCCATGTACACCTTCCATAGTTTACAGTGAGGGACATCCATGTGCAAGGCTTTCGTCCAAAAATATGTAGTTGCTGCAGAAGGTTTGGGTTTTGTGTTTTGGTTTTTTTTTTTACAGTTGGAAAAATATTGCTTGAAAACACAAAATGAAGCTTTTGAAACATTTAACACAATGCCTCAGAGCAGCAGAAATACCCCATTAATTTAAGACATGCCTTTCAAGGAAGAATCTTCCTTTTGTTCTTTCTCCATTAATAAAGGGGAGTGGGAATGGGAGACATTTTGCTGGTGTCTCCTGCCATGCCAAATACTGTGAAGTCAACTGTTACTACAAACAGCTGTGGTGCCAATTACAGACGCCAAGGTCTTTGTTTTGCTTTTAACAAGTGTAACATGGATCAAATTTAATTTCAGGCTTGAAATGGATGTAAAATTAAGAACACTTGGTGTAGGAAAAACCCACAATCTTCAACAACATAATAAATATCCTCCTCTAGTCTGTTCTAGTAAGGGGAACATGCTAAGCTCTTCCAATTTCTTCCTACGCAACAAGCCCTACATCATCCGTGGAGCCACGTGCCTCATCTACTATAGCCTGACCAGCGTTAGGTCACCTGTGCTTGCAGAGTAGGTATCACCGCTGCCTTGTACAGTAACACTGACGCTTTGCTTTCACTGCTTTAGGCACATTTCTGCCAAAACACTGTAAGGTCGCACCACAGAAAGTTATAACTCAAGTCACCTTGCAAGGAAGAGATCAGCCAGGTCCCTGTCCCATTCCCTTTTCCAGCTGATGAGCTGAACAGGCCAGCTCCAGGCTGGACATTGGCCTTAGTGACACTGTCTGTGCTGTGAGCAAGCGGACAGAAATCGAACACCAGGCAGCCAGGAAGCTCATCTCAATAAACAAGGTGCTGTACTGGGTTTCTATGTCTCTGAGTCTAAGTTTAGCCCTCGCACAAGTCCGAAGTAAACACTGCAGAAAGGATACTGACACAGCACACGTGAAAGGACTCGTCAGCATCAGCTACTTCAAAAAATGTTTTAAGACTACATGTACAGAGGGAAGGGAGAAGACACACAGAACCTTTTTCTGTGCCAGCTGGCATAGGTGTAAGGACATTTTCTTCTTTTTGGTGAAATTACAGTCCTAATATAGCTAAGTCACTGGTCCTACCTTCCACTCTTAAACAAGCTAGCTAACGTGATTTCCAGTGCCATCAATGAGAAAAGTCTTCCTTAAGAAAACAAACACTAACTCATTGCCTGTATGTAGCTGCAAACCTACCATTACTGCCATTCTTGGTCCAGTCTGGCATCTACAGCTTCAGAAAGGTGATGTTAAGTTAGAAGGGGCTCACATAAGAGTCTTAATGGCTCTCCAGAAGTGCCTTAATTAAAAGAGTGGAAGGGTCTTGTATCAATGGCAAAAAGACTGTATCAAGGTAAAGGCTTAAAAGAAAATGTAGAAGTAATTGGATTGCAGTCTCTAGAGACTGACCATGCGAACTCAGGGGCACTTGAAAATATACCACTTAAAGATAACATTATTCATGAGCTGAAAAATAAAACTAAGCATACTTTTAAAGGAGGGAATCAGTGACTGAGAAAAGTCATAAGTGATGGGGAAGACACTAAATCAAACATGGCCTAAGTCCAAGAATTTTCTGCACGCAACATGGATGGCTTTAAGAGTACTAATATTCAAAATATGTCTTTTGATAACTAGATCAGAGACTGGAAACCAAAATAAAGGAGGAGAAAGGAAAGAACAACAAATACTAGAACCACCTTGTTAAGAACAGTAGAAGGCAAGGAGACTACCAAAAGGCTCCGGGGTAAAACTGTCCTGTTATTAGCATTCACACATGGAATATTGCTACGGAAATCACCTTGCTTGAAGAGATTGTTGAGTTATTAAGTTACAGATAGTATCTCTTCCCATACATGAAAATAGGCTAATTTAGAAAAATTCCATTAGCCTGGTCATCGTCTTAACAGAGACTACAACACACAATGGTCCCATCTGGCCTATAACACTGGAACCTGCAATAGCAGAAATAAGAACAGAAGCACATTCTCTTTTCCCATATTCATGAAAAGGGCCCAACTTTGCAAAGTGTTATTTCAATGGTTTTACACTGAAAAAAACATCTGTTCTTTACACTAGAGACCAGGTCTGAAAAAGGTCTCCTATGAGAACTGCATGAAAAATTGTAACTTGTCAAGAACATTCTGGTTTTAGTTAGATGTTATGATACTTAGAGTGTCCCTTCAATTAATTTAAGTAGAATTACCATTAAGGTCAGTATCCAGCTTTGAAAGACAGTGGGATCTTCCCTTTCAGGTAAAGCAGAGGACATCTATTTGCTTTCAGTCAACTTTGATAACATTAATGCAATTACCTTGCCATCAATGTACCTTGATGGCATTAAAAATAGGAATGATTATTAAGCTTCCAAATCCCAAACTGAAAAAATAAAAGTAGACTGACCATGTTCCTCATAACCTGTCAAGATTTCAAGTAATTTAATTATTCCATACCAAAACCAATTACTATAGTAGCTTTTATTTGTATTATTCAGTCACAGAAGTTTCTATTTGCTATAAAGCACGCTACTGACAATTACGAGCAGCAGCAAGACAGAGGGCACCAAATCTGGAAACTAGCATGTTGTTGACATGAGAAAAGGGGCTGAGGCTCTTGTCCAAGGAGCAAGCCAGAGACTTCTGGTCTCCAGGGAGAGGGTTTTTCGTCACCCCTTCTCTTGCAATCACCTCCTGCCTAGTTTTTCTTCAGAAACTATCTTGTTTATCCTTCTTTTCTGCCACTTCCTTCTCTCACTCAAGTTCATTTGGGTCTTGACCTGTCAACAATAGGCGTTAATGCCCTTAAAACAGGAAATAAAAAACACGTATGATGGAAGAGCAGCCTTTGCCCACTTACACCCTGGGACTGAATATAGTCGTCTTGTGGTTAATGACCCACCTGCCTTTGCCCATTTCTGTTCTGCCCAGTGGTATAAAACCCTAACATGAGTGTGACACTGGTATTTGGCCAGCTATACGAAGCAGAGGTCTTCATTCGGGTCTCTATCGCTATTTGAACTTCAACTTTCTTTTAAGGAGAGATTTCCCCAGAATCCTGCACTGCATTTTGTCCATTAAGCTACATAATTGGTTTTGCCTGTAGCAATTGCTCTGCTGACAGGCAATTTTTTCCAGATTCAGCAAAAAGATAATGGTTCCCATGGTGAATCTTCAAAAAGCAGAAGCTAGTGATAAAACCCACTACAACACCCGTGCTCAGTATTAAAAGAGGAACATCAAAATGGACCTGTGGACTTTCAAAGTGGTGGTTTATTTCCCTAAAACCCTGCTGTTACTCTCCAAGGGACAATGTCTTACTAAAGAAAAGCTTACAGTAAAGTTGTTTTTATTTAATGCCACTGCTATCCACAACTTTCCAGGCTTCAAAGGGAATTTTCTTCCTCAAACAAACAGTGGAAAAGAGCCTTCACCGATGGTAACTGGTGGCTTCACTGAGCTGAAAAATGAGTTAACTCGTTTATTAACTGACCTTTTTATTTTTTCTTAAAGCACTTAAACCATTTCAGACTAACAGTTTACTCTGATTTTAAAGATAGCAATGCAAACATCAGTCTTCAAGCCTCATTAAAAAAAAAATTAAAATCCCATCAACAAAATTACCATTCCATTTCCCAGAGTTTGTTTTTTCTAGTTTATTCAAATACAACAATTCTGAATTATCTAAGAGTAATATTTTTATTGCTCTTTTACCATTACATTGTTCTGGTTTATGTATAGTGGAACTACAAATGTGATCCTCTTACTCATCTTGACCTAAAACAGAAATGCAGCATCCTCATTCTATCATTTCAGCCATCTTCAGTATAATCCCAAAAGCACACACAGATGAAAGCATCTATTAGAAAGAAATGTTTTGATTTAAGATAGATACTGCTACACTTACTGGCAAGCAATCCGATTCCATTTGCTAGTGATCCAACCCAAGCAGTCTTGCCTTTCCCTTCTCCAAAAGCATCCAGCCATTCTAAATACAAGACTCCCACCGCCAGCGGTGATCCGTAACACAAGAATTGAGTAAAGAAGGAAACAACAACGATCACCCAGCCCCAGCCACCATCTGGTGGTTTCTGAAATACCATCTTGTCTGATGAGGGCAGATGTACGGGCAGAACCTGTGTAAAGAAAAAACCAAAAGAGAACAGAGCATTAGAACTGTGACTGATCTAGGTTTGCCAACGCAAGTGAGCTGTTCAGACAAGTGCACGTTCAAACAGAGGCTTATTTCAACCATCCTTCAAGAAACACACGCAGCAGAGCATACAGGCAGTAAAAATTAGTAACCACGTGGTACTTCTGCCGCTTCTGCATAACACAGGAACAGCACACAAAGCATTATTGTCATACACACATCAGCACTGTATGACAGAAAAGGCAAACATTTCATTTTCTGAGTATTAAACAGTCTTTGTCAAGACCTCGGCCATTAATATCTGACAGAGTTCAATGAGAACGAGAGAACCACGTGGCCACCAGCTCAGACATCCTGAGTGAAGTGCTTGAAAAACATGCTAAGACATGACCATATTAAACACACACACACAAAATCTCCTATAAGCTGTTACAGTGTCTGGTCTCTGCACAGTTTGCGCCCACCACCCCTTCCCAAACTGGCACTCACTTCTCAGACTCCCAAAGTACAACCTTATTGCTTGGCACGGTGAGATCCATCACCTCCGCATCTATGGCATAGGAATAACTAGGCCATAACTCTGACTGTCCTCACACCTTCTCAAGACTAGTTTGGGAATGCAGGGACTCATGCCTTTAACATCTAGCAAAGAATTTAGAAGTTTCCAGCCTAAAGTGCTTTGGAGTTTGGATGACTCCTATGATACGGGAGTCCCTGTGCACACAGCCAACCTGACCTCCCTCTCTAGCAGGAGAAATCTGCCAAAGGGTTGATCAAAAAACCCTGGCTCTGTCACTAACCACACGTATGATTCTCAACAGTTTTATTCCCTGTAAGACAGAAACAGAGGATCTTACCCCATTTTCTTCGTGAAATACTCTCAAGGACCATCTTCACACTACAGCTTTTGCATTAAGGTTGCTGCAGTAACCGTTCTGCTCTGGGAGACCCCCAAGAGGCAAAGCAGAAAAATAAATACCTTCTTGACTTACAACCCAGAGGAGATGGAAAAAAATGACTGCTGCATGAAGGCAATGGTGTGAACAAGCAGACAACAACAGAGCTTCCATTCAAGCTCCCTGTACTCTTTGCTCGGGTAGTTCTTACGAATTTGCATGGAAAGCCTACATGAAAGCTACAGCATAAAGTCTTGAGGAATAGTTACTACAGAGATTGGAAAAGGCCAGTTCTAGTTTACAGACGCACTGAAATGTTACTTTGAGGGTACATACTTACAGATGATGACAAGAAAGTCCTTCAGCTTCCTACAAAGATACCCTCACGTGGCAACTCTACCTGCAGAAGAAAAGCAGCTTTTCAGCCAAAGTACCACTGCAACAGCGAACACAAAAACTGGTTCACACATGAACACATCAAAGTTCTTCTTTTTAGTATCTTTTCAGAGGAACTTCAGAAGTAATCAAGTTATCTCAGCAGAGAAACACTAACACCCCACCCCCCCACCCCTCAATTAATTAAAAGCTGACAGCAGCCTTGAGCTCCAAAATAACAAAAACATTGTCTGCTAATGTAAAACAAACTTTGATGTTCTAGGTCCTTTGGGAGTGATTTACGGTTTTAACATACTGGCAGTCCCTCAAGATACAGTGTGTAACATTTGTAGCTGGAAAAAGTTACATGTTTCAGCTATGAATGCAAGCTCTGATTTATTTCCTCAGCAGTCTGGTACCTGTGCCCTGACTGCATCCGATGCAAGGGGGACAGCTGGGAGAGACAGAAATCATACCATACCATAAGGTGTCAAAGTGTTGAAGAGCTGCTTGTAGGTACCTTCCTACAACAATAAGCTATGCACAAAAGAGGATCCGCATTTTTCTACACAAAATATTTAAACTACATGTATGCAGTCACTGAAAGGGCTAACATAGGCATCTTTCTGGGCATTAAGGATCACTTGGCTTGTTTTGTCCCCATCTGGAGCAAAAATGGTAGAAATAACAAACAGCTTCAAGAAAAGACACTTCCACCAAGACAAAGCAAGGAAGTCTACAGAAAACCACACAAATAATGGAAATAGACAGTGAATAATCTCAACTCATATTTGTTTAAAGAGTAATCTTTAGAAAGCAAACACATTTTGGCTGTTATATTGATTTTTCTTTTTTTTTTCTTTTTTTTTTTTTTTATCTGGACGCCCTAAAATCTGGCACAGAGGCAACTCTGAGTTCAGTTCTGCTATTCTAAACTCTGGATGGGGAGGAAGGGAGGGCAGGGCAGGAGAGGAAAAAAGGTTTTGTATTCTTAGGTCATGTAGCCTTTCCTAATAGGAAGACTAAACCCACTCTGGATCAGTGCCTCATCTGCTGCACGTCTGCACAGCTTTACTGACTTTAACCAACTGCTCCCAACTTATGACCTCCTACATCCCAATGCTTCTGCCTATTTTACAACACAAATTTCTTCTGCATCCTTTAGTTAAACAACAAGATTTTAGGTAGCAAAACCATCTCGGCTTTTGAAGCACTTCAAGCTGTTTACATTCTGCAATTGTAAAGCAAAAGTGAAAGCCACCGTCATTTTTTCCTCACTAGAAACAGACTTCAAAGTGAAAAAATATCTCCAAATCCCTGTTTGTTTTTAAGAGCCAACATGACCTGGCTTTCCCTTCCCTTTCTTGCAGGTTGCTCCTTCACTTCACATCGTTGTGTGCCTATTCCCTAAAATAAAGCATATTTTCTAACTGGAGACATGATGTCCTCCTAAAGAGAGCATGTGAGCTGAGAGCCCTGGGTGAGGAGACAAGAGCCCTCAGCTACAGTACATGGCTAAAGACACCCCAGTCAACCAAGCTGCTGCTGGAACTGTGGATACCAATACGCTTTTTAACGGTACATTATTTAATGCTTCCCTGAAAACAACGAGTTGTATAAAAGCTTAGTTAGCACGGATGAGAGCCGACAGTAGGAACTAAATCTTTGCTACCCCCAACACTGCCTGCACCAGCACCAAATCCGTGCATCGACTTGGGAGGGATCCGAAGCGTCTTTTACTATTTTCTGTCTGTGCAGAAGGAGGACACAGACTGTACAGATACACACAATCATAAAAAATAAAGAAGCAGAAACACATGTAGAAAAGAGCACTTAACAATTTTGTTTTCTCTTGGAACCAGTCGGGAAGACTTGTGTGATCCTGGAAATAGACAACCAACAATGGAGCTTAAGATTCAGGTGGGAACCATTCCACGAACCTTACAGTTCACAAAACCAAAGGATGTTGTTTCAGATTCCAGGAAACTTTGTCCCATCAAAAATACCGAAATGGAGAAGTGAAACACTAAGAATTAAACAGTAACTTGAAGTTTAGTCAGAAAAAGCTTTTCAGTGAGTTGTACTCGCTGCGAATAAGAATCAGAGGAAGAGTGCTGCTTGGTGAAAACCTTACCAACAACAAAAAGAAACTGTAGAGAATGAACTGAACAGTTGTAATGTGGATAAAGAGAGAGAGAGAGAGAGGGGTGTCTGGCCATAACTATTTTCTTTTATCTAAGAACCTTTATCACAATACTGAGCTCTTTTCTATAAATCTTAGAATTTGGCTTAAAGATGACAGAGCAGCACAGAAAAAGAATTGGTCTGAAGAACACAAGTACAACTGAAACATTAGCCCTCAGCACAGAAACTTGTATTAATCTGTGGCAAAGGGAATCTTGAGAAAGACAGTAGCAATACGACTGTTTGCAGTTTGCAGTTGTTATTTGTGCAACCGGAGCCTGGTTAAGCACACTGCTTTCTGTGAGCGGTGCAGGGCTGCAAAGCGCTGATGTCAGCACAACCACCGTGTGATTAACACTCGGCTGCTGCCGTTTTGCAAGACACTGGTACAGATTAAGACAGTACCAGCCAGAAGGGTAACATCCCTCATGTTAAGCTGAATTAGATTCCACATCCACTTCTATTTGTTTTTCAGGCAACGTTCTCGCAATTCTCACCTGAAGTTTCTGCTACCCTTAGCTTGCAAGGAACACCTAGAGTGCTGGAGTGGCAATGATGCATTACGCTTGTTTTTAACGTACTCAGGGTATCCAAACACCTGCATACGTCCCGACATGATGGTACAAGCACTGTATTAAATGCAGTGAAAAAGCTGAATCTGTACTTCGATGACATCAGACTTTAATTGATGCTCTAACTACAGTAGCTCCCACGTTTAAATATTTTTAAGTTCTTTCACACTGAATACATGTATTTGCCTCTCAGTTATCAGCATTCAGGTCCACCTATTTCTCATGCTCCCCTGCTTTCCCTTTTGGAAGTCATGCAAGAGGCTCATCCATGGAAATATCTCCCTCCATTTCTGCCTGACAAGGAAACAAGAGTGGAGTTTGAAACAAAACAAAATCCCAGGACAAAACTTACCGACACCACAATAATGTTTTTCCATTGTGCAAAGTAAGTTCACATCAAGAAGCATCAACCAGGGGAGCACATAAACCAGCCAGCTTTGTACCGATCTGTCAGCTCAGCAGAACCAGTCCTACCTGTTTCCAGAGCCTCACTGCCCCAGAGGGGATGGAAAGGCCGCCCCTCGCAAACTGCCTGTCAGACACCAGCTCGCATCCACGCTGGCAGATGTACACCGGCGCTGCTACACACCACAGCCAACTCGGTTTACCAGAGGACTCCTCAGCACACGGCGAGCCCAGTGCGTGCCGCCATACGCATCCCAACTGGCGAGGGCTTCCCAGGGTTTCTGCTCTCTCAACCAGTCCGCGTCCCTCGGCCAGGTCCTCCGTGGGGATGGATGGGCTCTTATAGCCCCCGGCTCGCCTGGCCTCTCCCCACGCCCTTGGGAGCCAGCCCACACTCCAGAGGTCTACGTTACATATTGACACCATCCACCTCCAGACCCGTTCCGACGGGACGCGCTCAGCCGCAGCGATGCGC